TGCAGCCGCTCTAAGGCCAATAGAAATATTTTTGAAGGACTACGTTGTATTTCCTGCATCAGATTTACAGCAGAGTTGCAGCTACACTGGTTGTACTGTTTTACACCGGAATGAAAAATGCAGATTACATCCTATGTATCAATACCAAATGGAAAAGGGCCCCAGGCTTCAGGGTTGTTACAGATCGCTTTCATGCAGGCAGAGTTTGCAACGTAATGAGCTCATACTGGAAGCATCTTAGACAGAAAAGCGATTCATTGTAGTGGTAGGGACGTTTTTAGATATGGGCCCAAATTTTCTTCTCTCGTGCAACCGATTCGTTTGGAATTAGGGGAAATAGTCATCTGATCGGGGCGAGAAAGGTTTGAGCCATAAAGTTTCCATTGAATTTTTCTAAGCAGTTCCCAAGCACCGGGCACTTTTTAAGGGGTACTTGATATTTGCGGCATCAGTTGAATAAGGAGCGGTGACGTAGTCGGTAGGACTACGCTATCGCTTTCCCAATGATATTAAGTTATAGGGCAAGGAGCAGCAATTTTAAACTACTGTTTCTGTTAACATCACAGATCGTTATTTCCTCTAGAAATATCACAGATTGTTACACTTAATCATTTTTCCTAATGTTTTACCAAATCTTACAGTATTTGTGATATGTATTGCACCCAGCTCAAAGAGAGAGACTTGATATTAAAATATTTGTTTGTTATGAAAGGTGGTGCTGAAGACCTGCTTCTTTAAAGAAAATGCAATAAAAAAATCAAGCTGTAGAAAGATTGCTTAAAAACTTAAAGCGCAGTAATCCAAGGGGAGGCCTGTAAGATTTATGTACTATTTCAAGAGTAATTTCTCAGTAAGAATCTTATAGGAATGTAAAAATCCTCAAAGAATTGCATTTACAGATTTAATTGTAATTCCTTTTATATTCTTACAGAAATTGAATAGAAATATCGTTCAAAGGCTTCTCTGTAGAAGTCCCCTGCCCTTGCTGAGTGGCTGTGCCCTCCGCTCCCTGCTACTGCGGCCGGCTTTAAAAACAATGGAAAATATTACCGACAGTATCCTCACTTGCCATCAGAGTGGAGAAGATATTTCAGTTACATTGATGTGCAAATACAGCTTGTCAAAGGACTGGCTGCTATTTTTGTGTCGAATAGCATGCGTAGGGTATGAGTAACAAATAAATACGCTTAATTTGTGCCTTGAGAAAGGAGCATTTTTCCCACTTTTTCTCTTTTTTTTCTTTTTTTTTTTTTTTCTCTACCCAGAAGACCTGCCCTAGCAAAACCTTTAATCTTTCCTTATCCTTAAGTCTGGGATTTCCAGACAATTGGCTTTTAATATCGCTATTTTTGTTGCATACCATTTTTAGGAGCAAATCCACTTGTGGGGTTTTTTTCCCCCCAGTGTTCAAAACTCCTTTTTCTCCCCAAATGATTATTAGAGGAGGAAGCAAGGAGGGGCTCCCTTGGCCCCATCGCTGCAGACTGAAGGTGGAGGGAAG